AGTTTTAATTATCATTGTAAACAAATCTTAGTGCAACCAAAGCCACACTAACCCAAGATCAGCAACCTCAGTGAAGAAAAGCAAACCAAAGAACTTCAAAAATGGCTAAAAAAGGAACACGACTCGTATGAGTCTGAATTTCTTCTATTACCTAGAAAATAACTGATGAAATACATAAACACTGCTAAAATGAAAAGAAGTTATACACTGCAAAAGAAACTGCCACACCACTAAACAAAATAAACTAATTGTAATTGCCACAAATATATTTGATCTCACACGCTAACATAACAGAAAGATGAAGAGCTATTCATGAACAGTGACCCTTTTAGAAAATTACTTTACTAATGTTAATACTCCCTCTTAAAGTGATTTTCTAGAAATAATTCCAAGTTGAGAACAAAGCATCTCAAGGGAGCTTTTGGAAAGTGACTTGGTAAATATGTCAGCAACATTATCTTGACTTTTCACCTCCAATGCACTGATGGTTCCTTCCAGAACCTTCTCTCTAATGAAATGATGCTCCACCTCAATGTGTTTTGTCCTTGCATGACAAACTAGATTGGTGGCAAGCCTAATAGCACTTTGATTATCTCCATAAAGGTTGGTTGAACCTTGAATAGGAGAATCAAGATCCTCAATGAGCCTTTGAAGCCAAACACATTCTTGAGCTACATGAGTAGAAGCCTTATATTCTACTTCAGTAGTTGACAAAGAAATTGAATCTTTTTTCTTACTACACCAAGAAATACCAGTCCCACCATACAAGAAAACATAACCAGATGTCGATTTGCGATCATCCAAGTGTCCACCAAAATCAACATTTGTGAAACCAAGTAGAGAAAAGTTTGCTCCTTTCTTGTAGAACAATCCCATGTCAAGGGTGGTATTGACATACTTCAAAATCTTCTTAGCAGCCTCAAGATGTGGCTTTCAAGGTGCTTGCATGAACCTGCTAACAAGACCAACAGAAAATGCAATATTTGGCCTTGTTATAGTCAAAGAAATCAAATTTCCAACAAGAGCACAATAAGGTTGAGGATTAGACAACAAGGAGCCTTCATCACGCCGTAGCCTGGTATTTATGTCAAGTGGAGTAGAGTGCTTTTTTCCTTCCTTCAAGCCAAACTTTGCAACAAGTTTTTCTGCATAATTTCTTTGAGTTATAAAAATTCCATTTTCCAAATTTTCAACTTCTAAATCGAGAAAATGATTTAGCTCTCCTAGATTTTTCATATCAAAACGAATAGAGAGCTCTTCTTGTAGTCTTGCAATTTCTTCTTCATCATTTCCTATTATTATCATGTCATCCACATATAGTAGAACTATAACATGCAAGCTAGATTGCTTTTTTACAAATAAACTATGATCAGAATCTGAAGCAAGATAACCACAAAATTGCAAATATTGAGCAATTTTTCCATACCAGGCCCTTGGCGCTTGCTTTAGCCCATAAAGAGCTTTCTTGAGTTTGCAAACAAAGTCTGGATGAGAATTTGCAACATAGCCTGGTGGTTGCTCCATGTAAATGTCTTTATCAAGCTCTCCATATAGAAAAGCATTTTTGACATCAAGTTGCCACAACTTCCAATTTTGTGAGGCTGCAAGAGCTAATACTGTACAAACTGAAGTCATCTTGGCAACAGGACTAAAAGTTTCTTCATAATCTTCTCCATACTTTTGAGAAAATCCATGAGCAACTAGCCTTGCTTTATATCTGTCTATGCTCCCATCAACCTTACGCTTAATTTTGTACACCCATTTACAAGAAACAAGCTGTACATCCTTGGGTTTTGGAACAAGATCCCAAGTTTCATTTTTAAATAGTGCATTCATTTCCTCATCCATTGCATCCTCCCATACTTTGACACCTGTTGCCTTTTCAAAGCACAAAGGAATTTCATCATCAGATGGTCCTGCAAAGAAACAAGAGTAAGTGCTAGTAAAATTTTCATCTCGATAGCGGGTTGGTTTAACAATATTCCTTTTGGATCTTTGATTAGCAGCTCCATCTTCTTTTTGTTGTTAACCATTTGCACTTGAACTGGAGCTCCCCCTTTCACCATGCTTTTCTTGTGAAGCAAATGAATTCGAATTTGATGTGAAAGGCAAACTTGTAACTTCAAGCTCCAAATCCTTAGTAGAACCATAGTAGGATGAAATTTCATCAAAAACCACATTTCTTGACACAACAAATTTGTGAGAGATAGGATCCCTGCATTTCCAGCCCTTTTTTTGTTCATCGTAGCCAACAAAAATACACTTTCTAGCCTCGGCATCAAACTTATTTCTTTGAGAATCTGGCACATGGACATAATAGATAGAGCCAAAAATTTTGAAGCGCCTAACATTGTGCTTCTCACCAAACATCAACTCATAAGGAGACTTCATGTTGGTTGGACTAAGTGGCACCCTGCTGATCACATAAGCTACACATTTCATTCCTTCTGCCCATAATTCTTTTGGCAGATTTTTTGCATGTAACCAGCTTCTACAAGTTTTTGCAAGATATCTAACTTTCCTTTCTACCACTCCATTTTGCTATAGAGTGTGAGCATAAGAGAGTTCCCTTCTTATCCCTTCACTACAACAAAAGGAATTAAAAGCATCAGAAGAAAATTGACCTCCATTGTCAGTTCGAAGCTGTTTGATTTTCCTTCCAAGAGCTCGTTCAACAGTTTCCTTGAACTCTTGAAATTTGAGGAAAACTTCTGATTTGTCCTTCACAAAATAAACCCAAGTGAATCTTGTAAAATCATCAACAAATATCAACATATAGCAAAAACAAGAATAAGAAGGAGTGGGAGTTGGCCTAACCAAGTCACTATGAATGCAATCCAATAGAGCTTTGCACCTAGAAGAAGACTTCTCAAATGAAAGCCTATGAGCCTTGCCATATTGACAACCTTCACAAATTCCACTATCACCAAAACTGGTTAGGTTTGGCAGCCCTTTGACTAATTCTTTCTACACCATAACTCTCAATTTATTCATGTTAAGATGCCAAAGACGAGCATGCCTTATAGAAGCATTGTCATGGCCACTTAGCTTCTCAACAAAGGATGTTGAAGTTGATAAAACATACACATCATCAATTCTTCTACCAACATGAACAACATCCGCTTTTAATTCTTCAATATTTCAAAGAAATTTCACATCATTAGGGCCAAATATGACATAATTGCCAAAGTCCACAGCATTTGTAACTGAGAAAATTTTCTTGTCATACCTGGGACATGATACACATTATTGAGTGTAATGAAATTTTCCTTGCATCCACCGAGAATAATTGTCCCCTCTTTTTCCACAGAGTGAACCGTGTTGTCAGCTATGATAACTGCATCTTTGCCTTTATGAAGATGGGGACTTGAGAACTTGGAAGCATCACCAGTCACATGATGACCACAACCAGAATCTATGATCCAATCATTCTTAAAATCAATTGAAGTAGGATTGGATGAAATTCTGGTCATGAAACACTTTCCCCAGTCTTCTTCATTGCTTTGAGAAGAACCCTGTTTATCACCACCTTCAGCTTCAACTCGAATTCCTTGCTTCAACTTGACACGAAAATTTTTCTTCACATGTCCAAGTTTACCACACTGATAGCATCTAAAGTTTTTCTTCTTGAAATTTGAAGAATTAGAGGCACCAACTCTAGATTCTGCACCATCTTTCTTTTCTTTTGAGTTGAAGTTTTTCCTTTTCTCAGCTACATGGACATTTTTATTGTCAACACCACCACCTTGATAAGTCACAGATAAACTTGCCATTTTCTTGGCCAAAGACTCTTGTGAGGACAAGAGATTTTCAAACTCTTCCAAGGATGGTTGTTGAGCCCACCCTTGAATTGAGGTGACATAAGGAATGTACTTTGGCTTTAACCCGCGAACAATATGCCGCTTCATATGAGCTTCATAGATAGGCTTGTCCAAATCCAAAATTGATATTTCTGAACATAAATTTTTAATTTTCAGAAAAAATTGAGCAATAAAGAGGTCCCCTTGATAGGCGTTACCTAGTTGATTCTCCGAGAACTACAGCTGAGACACATCTTTTTTGTTGAATAACCTGTCTAGAGTTTGCAAAATTCCATTGGAAGATTTGCAACGAATTATGTGCTCAAACATTCCATGAGAAATAGACCTCTTCAAAGCAAATTCTACCTTAGCATTCTTTTGCCTCCATTGCTTAAAGGCCTCAGCATTTTCTTCATTATTTTTTGGAGTTGTAATGTCATCACCACCAACAACATCCCAAAGGTCCTCACCAACAAGATAAGATTCAATGCAAGTCTTCCATACATTATAATTGGACTAGTTCAATAATTCCATGCCAAGTCCAACAACTCAACCACTTGAATCCATTTTGGAACACCGGCTGATTTTCTTCACAAGAGATCTTGTCACAGAGCAGTTGCTTATCTCTCAGGCTCTGATACCATGTAAACAAATCTTAGTGCAACCAAAGCCACACTAACCCAAGATTAGCAACCTTAGAGAAGAAAAGCAAACCAAAGAACTTCAAAAATGGCTAAAAAAGGAACAAGAATTGTATGACTCTGAATTTCTTCTATTACTTAGAAAATAATTGATGAAATGCTTCAACACTGCCAAAATGAAAAGAAGTTACAATCTGCAAAAGAAACTGCCACACCACTAAACAAAATAAACTAATTGTAACTGCCACAAATATATTTGATCTTACACGCTAACATAACTGGAAGATGAAGAGCTATTCATGAATAGTGACCCCTTCTAGAAAATTACTTTACTAATTTTAACAATCATAACTTAGCGAGGAAAGTAACTTCCCCCCATTGGTACTTTGGTTTTAATTTTTAGTCTTTAATTTATTTGAAGAACCAGCTGATGACATACATGATAATTTCTAGTGCTTTAGGGGAGCATCATGAAATC